CCCGTGGCTGCCGCCATCCGGTTGTCGAGAAGGGCAGAGCCTTTCTCGCCCTTTCCCTGCTTTGCTTCCCCGGCCGCGTCCCGAGGGCGGTGCCGGGAGGGCAGCTCTGCTCGGCCCCGACGCCGACACCCTGCTTTCTCTTTCAGAGGATACGATGGGCGGTCCGACCTGCACGTCGGAATAACCAACAGCAGCGGTAAAAAGCACCTGTGGTCGCTTCACAGACTCCTCCCCCATTCCGTCCCGGCCCTGTGGCCCGGGCAGCTTTGTCCCCTCCAGCTGAGGTGACCCAAAATGAGTTCTTTCAGAGCCGCCTCCGTGGTCATTTCTGGTACCTCGGTATATAAAAACAACGCCCAAAGATCTGAGGATCACGGGCTGCCTTGGGAGCCCAGCTGGTCACCACGCAAGGAGGATTGTGTAGAGATCCGAAAAGTCTCGAGTCCAGGAATTTACCTCCTCTGGCAGTGGTGATATGCAGAGCTTGGAGTCTAAGCTGTACACTGCTCCTCACGCTGCACAGAACGGAGTTGGCAGGTGGCTGCTGCTCCTGGCACAGGGAGAGGAAAAGTCAGACAGCCTAGTTCTTTAGGGAAGCTACAGGAAATTCTGTCTTGAACACCCTTTTTACTACTTCTAAAAATACCCCTAATTAATGGAATAGATAGAATTATAGAATTGTTCTGGTTGGAAGAGATCTTCCAGATCATCAAGTCCAACCGTTCCCCCAGCACTGCCAGGTCCCTACTGACCTATGTCCCTCACACCGCATCTCCACGGCTTGGAAACCCCTCCAGGGATGGGGACTCCACCACTGCCCTGGGCAGCCTGGGACAGCCCTGGACAACCCTGGTGGCAAAGAAATTGTTCCTCCTGTCCAACTTAAACCTCCCTATGGCACAACTTGAGGCTGTTTCCTCTTGTCCTGCCACTTCTTCCTTGGGAGAAGAGCCTGACCCCCACCTGGCTCCAGCTTCCTGTCAGGGAGTTGTTAATTAAAACCCCAAAATTTTAAGAAGCCACATTAAAAAAAAACACATTGGATTTTCCTAGAGCAGCCCCCTCCCCCCTCCCCCCGCAAAATCTCACTTGAGATTTTAATATAAAGATGGTGTAATTTGGGGGGGTTAAATAGAAGCCTGGCTGTCGTCGAGTCGCTTTCATTGTCGAAGGACACCTGAAATGATGCTGTAAAACGGAGAACAGGTTTTTGATGAAAGCAGGGGCTGCGTTTCTCCCCCACAGCCGCAGGCATTGCTCTGTTCCAGGCGTGGTGTATAATTACGATGCGGAGGGCGTCCGCAGAGACCACGCCGGTTGGGAGCAGTGTGTCAGCGTCCCGCTGGTCCAGCCAGGCATGGTGGGGCTGCTGCAGCAGTGGGACGAGCTCCTGGAGGAATTCTCAGTGGGAGAGGCCTGGCAGCCTCACAGGTATGTGGTTTGGAGGCTGGACCCAGCAGTATTTCTTAGCTGTGTGTCTGGAGTCTCGCAGTTTGTAGCATCCTAGCTGGAAAGTTCCAACTTGCAACAGCACCAGCATTAAAGGGGAAAGCAAGTGTTTGGAGAGCACGTGCTTCCTTACCCAGTCAAATACTCCTCCATGCACAGTAATTAACAGGTCAATGCTAACTCTAACGAGCTGTTTCTCCTAGGTATGAAGAACAGGCCCACAACTGCTACACGTTTGCACTGGCGTTCATCAACAGCATACTGATGGCGCAAGGGAAACGGCAGCTGAGCAAAAGGGAGTTTACAGAGAAGTTTGTGATCCCGCAGATGAGGAAAGCTTCCAGGTACCTGACTCTGCATCAGGCGCTGGCTGCCAACGACTTCTACATCGTGCCCCTTCCAGAGAGAGAAACCAGTGAGGAAAACGATGCGCTGCTGGATGAAAGCACCCACAGCACACAAGAGGAAAAGGACCGAAGTCTTCAGGCTCCAAATCTCGGGGTTTACGAGGTGTGATCTGCTCTGTGTATTTAAAACCTACAGTTAAAACAATCTGTAAGTCCTGGAAACAACTTTGTGCACTGGATGAGACAAGAAACACTGTGCATGCTGCAGAGGATTTCTGTGGGAGCCGCTCACGTGGTAAAACGCTTTGTTGGCATCCACTGTATGCTCTGTTCTGTGGGACACCCAACGCCAGACATGGTAACTGCTGTGTAATTAAGGGCATTAACAAACAAACTGTGGGAACTTCAGCTGTAGCAAACCAAAGTGAGTTTTTCCTGTCACATTTGTTTACTGATGAGTGGGTAAAAAAAGGGAATTTGTGCTTGTGTGCTGCTGAAATTAAATCCATGACTTAATGCAGATTGACTACATGCAAAATTATTTTCCTTTCCTTTACTAATAAATATAATAAATCCAGATATATTTCTTTACCAATTCTTTAAATGTTTCACATTTATTCCTCAAACCAAGACGTATGGTTAGTATTAAAAGATAATAATTTACTTGTATGTTAGTATCTGTAAAAAGTAACAGACTCCTGAAGATTTATCTTGGAGTTAAAACTTTCCTTCAACAGCACTTTTACCTATTGCACATTACACAGAAGTCTACGTGGAGGTCAAAATTCTGCAGCCCATCATTTTGGGCAGTTTTGCTTTACTTACAGTCTAGATGAAGAAAATCCATCTTTTTCCCATCTACTAATTTCTGCAAAGTAAGCTGGTTTGAGCCTAGGTGCCAGTCCTACCTTCTCAAAGGCAAAGTCATCATGAGCTAGAGTTTATAGTTTTGCCTCCACAAACTGGACTAACCCTGTCCCCAAGGCTCTCTGGCTGCACACACCATACTGTGTTCCTCCACTTCTTGCCAAATTCTACATCCTGGCTCCTTTAAGAGCTTATTAAAAAAACCCACAGCCTGCTTGAAACGTGCAATTTGGCTGCTGTTGGCACTCTCCTGTGCACCCACTCCCAGCACAAATCAGAATTCTTCAGCTAGGATTTGGCTTACAAGAAGAAATTATGGTATTTGAGTGAATTTGAACCTGTATTTCAGTCAAGTACTAGATTTTAATTGGTAAAATAGAAATACAATGGCAAGTATCAGTGCTATGGTGCAACTACCTAATGTAAGTTGATACAACAGTCCTGACACATGATCTGCAGCTAGAAATAACGCCCCGTGCCCCGTACAGTCCACACGTACATCCCTGTTCAGCTTGGAAAAGCTATTGTGCAATCAGGATTTTCATTTTACATCCTTCAAGTAGGAGTATGAAGTGAAAGCAAAGCCTGGAAGATCTTCCACTCCGAGCTGTATATAGTTTCCTGTATTCACGACATGTCTTTACAGTCTAAACTGAGTAAGTGAACAAGACTCAGGGTTTGTGTTTGGTGGGAACAGTCTGGGTTGACGGAATTTTTACCAGCCCTAGAAAATTTCCTGTGACCAGGAGCCAATTCCCCTTTTATAGTGAATGAAAACAGCACAAAGAAAATCCAAACCAGTGGCACTGTCACCAGCTGTAATGTGTCCTCTCTGTTGCAGCAAATGTGTTCTCTCCGAACACAGAGCCAGGGGGAAATAAAGGATCTTAACAGCCTGGTGAAGCAAGGAAGCCTGTTGTTGAGACAATAAGATGCAATCCCAAGGCCTGGATGTAAAGCAGCGGTACTTAAAATGCAGTGCAGCCTATACTTAAACCTCCTGGCTCTATTCCACTCTGGTAACCCCACCTGGAACACTGTGTCCAGCCCTGGAGGCCCAACATGAGAAGGACATGGACCTGGTGGAGCAGGGCCACAGGAGGCCACGAAGATGAACCAGGGAACTATAGGCCAGTC